ACATATGTCTAGATATAATTTAGAGATCAGTAAAATGATAGACCTCCATCCAGTGTTGTAGCTCCCTCCCTGATGATTGGCAGTCCTTCTCCCTGAGAAGTGTAGCCTCGCAGGTAGAAGCGGTAACGGTTGTGAGGATCCAGCTTTAAGCTGAAGTGAGACACGGCTTGGTCACTGATCTTTTCCACTTGCATGGGACCGTCTTCCTTAACAACTGCAGAGAAATGAGGGGAAAAAGACATGTCAAAAATATTATTTTAACTATAGTTTAGTGGTTTTAAAAATAGTTGTTTTAAAATATTAACCACCAAGCACTTGCTACGCAGTTGCTGTAGTGTTTTGAATGGTTTTCTGATGCATAAAGTGATAGTTCACCCAAAAATTACAATTCTGTCTGTAATTACTTACTCTCATGTCGTTCCAAACCTGTACGTCCATCGTTCATCCTTCGCAAGGAAAAAAAAGACTTCATTCAATCATTTCTTCTCTTCCATGTCAGTTTTCGTCGCGTTCATGAGAGTACCACGACTGACACGGAAGAGAAGAAATTGTTAAATAAAGTCGTTATTTTTTTTCTTTGCACACAAAAAGTATTCTCGTAGCTTCATAAAATGATGGTTGAACCACTGATGTCACATGGACTATTTTAACAATGTCCTTACTACCTTTCTGGGCCTTGAACGTGGTGGTTATGTTGCTGTATATGCAGGGTCAGGAAGCTCTCGGATTTCATAAAAAATATCTTAATTTCTGTTCTAAAGATGAACGAAGGTCTTACGGGTTTGGAACAACATGAGGGTGAGTAATTAATGACAGAATTGTCAAGTTTGTGTGAACTATCCCTTTAATGTTCACAGCTTCTAATACGCCTGATGAGAGTGAATCAGGCTGTCAGTCAACGCACCTTGTTGATACTGTAATATGTATCCTTTCAGGACACCATTCGGCTGGGTGGGCGGAGTCCAATGCAGTGTAATTTCCGTCTCCGATGGGCTATCCAGCAGTAAAGATGATGGAGGACCAGGTACTGGGGAAAAAATGGATGACAGGATTTGAATCCCTCACCTTTCTTCATCTATTTTTACTATTTGTCTCTCAGTCTTTCATTCCTACCTCCTTCTGGAGTGTGGAAAGTGAGGGGGTCAGACTGGGGACCTTCTCCTTTATTGTTGATGACACTCACAGACAGTGCGTAATGGGAGTAGGGCTGCAGATCTCCCAGAACCTTCTTCTCCTCATTACTGTCTGTCATCTCAAACGAGATGTCGCTTGGCTTCCCCTCCCTAACACGCTCCCGTCGGAGGTGTCTGCTTTCCGGGCCATAGTGCATTAGATAAATCTATAGGATGGATTATACAGGTGCATCTCAATAAATTAGAACGTCGTGGAAAAGTTAATTTATTTCAGTAATTCAACTCAAATTGTGAAACTCGTGTATTAAATAAATTCAATGCACACAGACTGAAGTAGTTTAAGTCTTTGGTTCTTTTAATTGTGATGATTTTGGCTCACATTTAACAAAAACTCTCACATTGGCTCACATCTCAACAAATTAGAATACTTCATAAGACCAACAAAAAAA